GAGGAATAGCTGGTCTCTCAGGATCAACACCTCTCCAACGGCCAAGTCCAGTGGGGTTATTATTTAATTGTTTAGATTTTTTCTTTGTCTCTTATATTTAAACTTAGCTTAAAGCTTGTGTCATAAGCTATAATAGATTTAATAACCTCATTGGATTGGAAAAGGCCTCGTTTGGAAAATTATTTGATCTAGGCAAATGATTTTTGATCAGAACTTCGATAAGTTAAAAAGAATAGAAAATTTTATTATGTCTCATTATCCCAACCAATACTATTATTATAATATAGATCAATCAGGTTAGTAGGTTCCTTCCTTGTTTTTATTTCCACCATAATTATTATTTAATTTTATTCATTTAAGTCACGATTAAATGCTAGTAAATAATTCTGCCAATAATTAGAATTTGAAATTTTGGAAGACCCTAGCAGTCATCCATTTTAATTAAGAGTCTATGGTTTTATTTGTATTCACTAAAAGCAGATAAAATTTTTTTTAAATTCAGTTCTATGCACTTAGATATTCTTTATCTCCAGATTTTCCAATAAGGTTGAAAGGAATTTCTTATAAATCATTGATGCATCATTGACTCTTAGCTAATTAATTGATTCAATTATATTCATAAAAACAAATTCTTAAATAATACATTTAATGATGATACTTGGTTTCATGAAATAATAAATTAATTTTCTCTTTTTGATTTTTATGGACATCTTTAAATGTAAATATCTAAAACATGAAAATGAAGAAATTATTGGATTTTGTTTGAATCAGAATTGTTAGAATACAACACAATATTGTTATAAATGTTTAAATACTACTCATTAAGATCATATCAACGATTGTATTCGATTCACAGAAATTATCTAAATTATGAATGAATCCAAGCAAGTTTATACTCAATAAATGAAATAATTCAAAGATATCTATAAACGAATTGAGAATTTATTTGAATAATTTAAAAAAAAAATGGATCAGGAAATTAAAACATTAGAAAATATGACCTAATAACTTAAAAATTAAGATTATTTGACTTTTAAGTCATAAATTCACATACTCAAACAGTTCTACTCTGGAGAAAAAAAAGATTATAAATGTATCCGCTTTTAATTTATTAAAGAAACACAAATAATATAATTGCATAACATTAATAATACAATAAAGAATATGGTATCAGAATAAACTCAAGCTGGTGATTAATTTGATTCTGGTAATGAAAATGATATTAAAATAGCAGGAATAAATTTTTAAACTAATTCTTATTAGCAGTTGAATATTTAAGAAATTGAAAAATTATTGAATGAAGGTTTAATCAATTTCACTTTTTAGGTGCAGTTTTAAAAAGTTTAAATAAGTATTAAGAAGCAATTGAATGCTACGATAAAGTTATTTCCATAAATCCAAAATATTATGTTTCTTGGAATAATAAGGGTAATTAACTTAAGACATTATTAATTAGGTACTTCATTATAAAGTTTAAAAAAATTCTAAGATGCAATTGAATGCTTTAACTAAGCTATTTCCATAAATCCAAAATATTATGTTTCTTGGAATAATAAAGGTAATTAAATGTAAGACATTATTATTCAGGCAATGCATTATAAAATTTAACTAATTATTAAGAGGCAATTGACTGCTATGAGAAAGCCATTTCCATAAATCCAAAATATGATGTTGCTTGGAATAATATGGGTAATTAACTGTTTGATATTTAGGCAATGCATTATCAAGTTTGAATAAATATTAAGAGTCAATTAAATGCTTCGACAAAGCTATTTTCATAAATCCAAACAATGATCTTGCTTGGAATAATAAGGGTAATTAGCTGTAAGGCATTATCGTTTAGGCAATGCATTATAAAATTTAAATATTTAATAAGAAGCAATTGAATGCTATGAGAAAGCTATTTCCATAAATCCAATGTATGATCTTGTTTGGAATAATAAGGGTAATTAGCAGTTAGAAATTATTATTCAGGTACTTCATTAATCAATTTAAATAAATATTAAGAAGCAGTTGTATGCTTTGACAAAGCTTTTTCGATAAATCCAAAAAATGAAAATGTGTGGAGTAATAAAGGTAAACCATTTTATAATTGAGGTTTCGCCCTACATAATTTAAAGAAATATAAGGATGCAATAATATGTTATGATAAAGCCCTATCTATTAGCATTACTTCTCTAAGATTACAACGAAAAGGTAAGCTTTTCTAAATTTAATTTATTTTTAGCTGATTCTCTATTTGAATTGGAGAACAAATAAGAAGCTAAAAAAGCTTATTTAGATGCATTGGAAAAAGGGTCAAATAATAAGAATTATATAGAGAAATAACTATCAAAGTTATGAAGCAAAATCATTTATAAATATCTAATTAATATAATCATATTTTCTTAATTAAACTTTCCGTTTGATAATACCTGTTTTATATTAACTTAGTGAATGCACTTTAGATTGACTTTATGAATGCATTAATATTTTCTATTAACTTTTGTAGCATTTATATAATCTATAAATAAATATACTATATGTAACATCAAAAACTCTGAATAAACATAGACCACTAACTGCTTTATAATTTCACAAAGTTTTTATTCCTTCCTACTTCAATACCGAGGTTGCTATCAATTTTTCCTATATGCCTTTTTTTGGTTGATAGCTTGTATTTTTTGTTTCGATTATTAATTGTATTTTTTACATAATAGTACCTTGATATTATAAAAATTACTAAATTAATTTAAAAAAATTACTAAAAGTCCCCCATAAAGGATCCAAACTTTTTTATGAGAGTGAATCATGTCCCAAAATACAAGTATGATAATTAATCTACAGGAAGTTTCTTTTAAATGACCCACTTCAAGATTTGTAAACTTCTGAATTAAAATATAGTTTAATCTTTATGGGAGCAACAAATGATGGCATTCATTTTTTGCTTTTCTTGTTAATTAGCCCATGAGTTAAACCAGAGGTCCTTACCAATAATAAACGTTAGTCAAAGCAATTTTCCAACCATTGATCCTTCTCAAGGTTAATCTAATTGTCCAATTCTTAAGTTCGCTAAGAAAGATTGAAATTTATTTTTCAAGATCCATCTCTTATATCACAAAATAAGTTTGTAGTCAATTCTAATTTAGTTATAATAATAAAAGCTTTTTAAATTAAAACTATTTTCAGTTACCATTTATATCTGAGAGATAATCTAAGAAACATTTTTAATATTATAATCTGGAAGTTTCTGCAATTCAGTATATTTCCTCATTCAACTCTTTTAGATATGGGGCAATAGAATGAATGTATTTAACTAAGGATCTTGGAGTGATAAAATTCAAATATTTTAGAAATTTAATTTAATAATTTATTTTATCATAAATTCTTGATTATCTCATAATAAGAG